GTGGTGATAGAGGGTATAAGTTTGTCATTCCGTGTGTAACACCTAGAAATATTCACCTGAGACCCAACAAAGTATATATATTCTTGATCCTTATGAAATTCTGAGTCGATTTAGCTATGTCCGTCTGTCTGCCTAAAACACGCTCACGTTAAAACTAAGTGAAAGAAATAAACCAAATTCACCGAAAAATATTCAATCAGCAAAATCGGTTCACAACGTTAAAAGTTATGAGTAAAAATTTCAGACTACCTCGAAAAAAATTACGTTTTTTCGTAATTCTTAAGTCGTTTTCTCAGAAACTACAAAAGATAATTCGATGAATTTTGTTACACATTATTTTTTTTACCCAGGGACCAATTATGTTGAAAATCAAAACAATCGATCCAAAATTTCCCGTAGCCCCCATACAAAGGTACATATTTCCGGAAATGGATTTAATAACTTCCTCAAATATATCGGTATCAACTCAAAATTTCGCACATATACATAAAATATCAACAAAAATCATACTATCAACGTAGATTAGTATCGGTCCACAATTGGTCATAGCTCCCATATAAGGTCCTCTTCCGAAAATCACTTAAACGCGCATATTTCACTGATAAATAAAGCTATCAAGATAAAATTTAACATGAATATATTTTGTATATGTATAAATCAATCTACGAATTTTTTTCCGAATCAGTCCATAATTGGTCATAGCTCCCATATAAGGCCCACTTCCGAAAATCATTTAAAAGCTCATATTTCATTGTCAAATAAAGCTTTCTTGATAAAATTCGACACAAATAAGTTTAGTCTAAAAATGAATCATTCTACGAAATTTTTTCAGGATAGGCCCATAATTGGTCATGGGTCCCATATAAAGTCCACTTCCGAAAATCACTTAAGCGCATATATTTCATTGAATTATAAAGCTATCGGGATAAAATTCGACACAAATATGTTTTGTATACATACAAATCATTCTACAAATTTTTTTACGGATCGGTCCATTATAGGTCATAGCTCCCATATAAGGCCCACTTCCGAAAATCACTTAAAAACACATATTTCATTGTCAAATAAAGCTATCGTGATAAAATTCGACATAAATATATTTTGTCTAAATATGAATTACTCTTCCAAATTTTTTTTCGGATAGGCCCATAATTGGTCATAGCTCCCATATAAGGTCCACTTCCGAAAATCACTTAAACGCATATATTTCATTGAATTCTAAAGCTATTGGTATAAAATTCGACAAGAATATGTTTTGTATATATTCAAATCATTCTACCAATTTTTTTACGGATCGGTCCATTATTGGTCATAGCTCCCATATAAGGCCCTTTTCCGAAAATCACTTAAAAGCACATATTTCATTGTCAAATAAAGTAATCTTGATAAAATTGGACACAAATATGTTTCTATATGAGTCACTCTACGAAATTTCTTCCGAATAGGCTCATAATTGGTCATAGCTCCCATGTAAAGTCGACTTCCGAAAATCACTTAAACGCATATATTTCATTAAATTCAAAAACTATAAGGATAAAATTCGACTTGAATATATTTTGTATACATATAAATCATTCTACCACTTTTTTTCCCGGATCGGTCCATTATTGACCATAGCACCCATATAAGTCCACTTCCGAAAATCACTTAAGCGCACATATTTAATTGTCAAATAGAGTTATATTGATAAAATTCGACACAAATATGTTTTGTCTTTATATGAGTCACTCAACTAAATTTTTTCCGGATAGGCTCCCATAGAGGGTCCACTTACGAAAATCAGTTAAACGCATATATTTCTTTAAATAATAAAGCTATCGGGATAAAGTACGACTTGAATATGTTTTGTAAGCATATAAATCATTCTACCAAATTTTTTCCGGATATGCTAATAGCTTCTATATAAGGCTCACTCCAAAAAAATCACTTAAATGCACATATTTCATTATCAAATAAGGATATCTTGATGAAATTCGACACAAATATGTTTTGTGTGAGGTCATAGCTCCTATACATATAAAGTCCACTTCCGAAAATCACCTAAACGCACATATTTCATTAATTAATAAATCTATTGTAGTAAAGTTCGACTTGATTTTTTTGGCATATTATACGAATTTTTTTCCTTATCGGTCGATAATTGGTCACAACTCCCATATAAGGACCAATTCCGAAAATTACTTAAATGCACATTGACCATAAATGTTATCGGGATAAAATTGAACATAAATGTGTATTTTGTAAATATAAATTCTACGGATATTTTTTCGGATCGGTCCATAGAGTCATGTAATATTCCTACATGAATACCCTTAATATTCCAAATATTCCTTATTATCATAACATTCATCATTTACTTCATTTTATTCTTCTTTAAAATACAATTATCAACTATTTTCTTTTAATATACTATTATCAAATATTTTATTTTAAGATGTAATTATCAAATATTTATTCTTTTATGTCATTCTTAATATTATCGTTATTTCTTACACTTACTTTAAACTTGTTAACCGTTACTTTAAGCATTGAAATTATGTCATTGTAAAATTTAAATTAATCATATTTTGGCCCAAAGAATAAACAAGAAGTGAAACGCTGTCATTTTTTTACAACAATAACATTACGCTCTTCTCACAGACGAGTGCTGTGTAAATCCAACACATATGTAAAAATGTTATTCTCTCTCCAAACTTCAAAACTTTTTCGCGAAAATTTGAGGATAATAGCACTTTGAAATATTTTTTATCACTTAACATTATATTTTATAATTTTTTTGCACAATTTAAACACATTTAATAGCCCGAAAATAATATATTTTCTACAAACGAAAAAAAAATATTTTTTATTTTTTGACATTGAATTTTTGTTGGTTGAAATTAAAACTAAAAAAAACAATGTTGTAAATTTTCGTATGGTAAACAAAAAAAATATATTTCAAATAAATAATTTATTTTTCCAATATTATAGATTAAAAAACAAATAGACGTGTTTATAAAATGTTTGTAGATAAAATATGTGGAAAATATCTCAAGAAACCTTTCAAAGTATAAATTGAAATGTAATATTTTTTTTTCAATATTTTTCAATACGATTTTTTGCAACTATGTTGACTTGAGAATTCTACTAATACATTCTTAGAGTTAGGTACCGGATGACAGTAGACTTAGGTACTTTTGACAGCAGTTTCATTTCTTATTTATTCTTTGTTTTGGCCTTTGAAAAGAAGACATCAAATTTTAAGTAAATAAATAAATCACACGGATAAACTCAAAAGTCGTTTTTTAATTAACTTTACTGGCGCAGTCGGTTTTACGGACTAATTCTTTAGTAAAAAAATTATTAAAGAAATTAAAATAGTATTTTATGCGAAATAAAAAGTGTTAAAATCCACTTAAAGTGTAAAAAAAAACAAAAATATATAAATTCTTAACTAAAGTTAAGTTGTTTAAAAGAAACAAAAAGTGTTTAAACAAAATTTCTTCATATACAAATTTTAAACGAAAGACGTTTTTTTTCAATATTGTGTTGTGAAAATAAAATATTAACTTTTAATTGTTAATATACAACAATTTTAAATCATCACAATAAAAACAAAAACATTTTTGAGAAATTAATTGTGTGATAATAAGACCTTAACTTTATTTTAATAATATGTAAAGTTCTATTTAATTGTTGGTTCGACTACAAAAACAAAAACTATACAAAACCCTTATTACAACAACATAAAAACTACAAAACTCTTAAAATGTTGAAATGTTCAAGGTTAACATAATAAGAAAAAGAGGTTTGAACAAAAATAAATACTTTTAATAAAATATTACAACAACAATACATATTAATATAACAAAAATTTAAAGTCATACAAATCAACAACTAGAACAAAAACAACAACTATTTACAAAAATTACAACAACTATATTAGTATAAAATTTTAAATCGACAAAAATAAAGAAATTTGAAGGTCAAATTTAGTACGGAACCTAATCATATGCAAAAGGAGAATAAACAAATATACAACATAGAAAAATTGCAAACAACAATAAAACAACAACTGGAGAGTAGTGCGATTACTATAGAAAACAGAAGAGAGTGGAACAGATTCCAAGTGCTTAGATTTACAAGAAGGAGGGATAACAACAATTACATAAGAATCAGCAACAACAACAACTATAAGCAGCAGCAACCGAACAAAATATTTGTCATCGCTATAACTGGAGAGAAAAAAAACAAGATGTCACTCAACGTATTCCAACTTCTCGATGGTGTTCCTCAATTCGAGGGAAAAGCGGAGGAACTCCAAATGTTTATTAAACATGTTGATGAAGTCCGTCAACATGTTGATGCAGCTTTATTGACTTTGTTTGATTTGAGAATCCGAAACAAAATTATTGGAAATGCAAACAACACGTTAATAAAAAACAACAATCCGACTAATTGGGAGGAGGTAAAAATTATTTTAAGAATTAATTTTAATATTTCTGACAGTATTGAAAGTATTATTAATAAGATTAAAACAGCAGAATTGAGGAGTAGCATTAGCGATTTTTATGATTATCTTTTAAAATTGTTAACAAAACTAAACTTGAAAAGTAGCATTGACATAGAAACACAACAATGGTTTAGTTGTAGTAACAATGAAAGAATGGTTTTGAAAATTTTTATTAGTAAGTTACCCAGTGAACCAAAATTAGTTCTTGATGCAAGAAATCCTCATTCTTTATTAAAGGCAAAAGAAATTTTGATAGAAACAGAATATTTCTTTAAAAAATATAATAATTTACAAACTTTTTCATCAAAATTTTCTAATAACAATCCTAATAAATCATTTTCTGGAAACAATTCTCGTTCTTTTGAAAATTCACAATCTTTTTATCGTACAAATTATGGTGAAAATATACAAAATTCTAATCAAAATTATCAATTTAATCGAAAATCTAATTTCAATGGGCGAAACTCTACTAATCATCAAAATCACAACAATATTTCACCTAATTTAGATCAAAATCAACAAGAAATGAGACACAATACTTTTACGAACAATAGTCAAAATAGACAAGATAATTCAGGATTTTTTAGTCGTAATTTAAATACACGTACATCTCAGCAAACGAATATTAGTAGTCAGTCAATGGATGTTGATAATATTCAAACATCAAATTTTCAATTATTGGCCGAAGATCTCTTCCCTGCATAATAGTTAAAACGAGAACTACCCCAATAAAATTGTTAATAGACACAGGATCAGGGACGACGTTAATTAGAAAAGGTTTGTTTCACAGTTCATTTAGAACTGAACTTGAACGCCCAATTATTCTGAATACAATTTGTTCAAAAACTATAACTGACTCCAAAATAACTATACCACTTTTTAAAGAATTCAATCGCTTTAATTCTAAAATAGAAATGTTAGAGACTGAAATTTTTAGTGAATTTGACGGTATTTTAGGTTGCAATTTATTGAAACCATTAGGAGCTAAAATTGATTTTAAGGAAAATATGTTAGTGACAAATGATGCTAAAATTCCTTTAGTTTTTGATATGCCTTCAGAAGAATCTTTGAAGTTTGATGAAACTGTTGACACGATAATTGAAATAAATTTTAATGAACCAAGATTAGATATTTTAAAACAGAAACTGCAAAGACAAAACTCTAATGATGAGGAAATTAGTGAACTATTGAAATTATTAAAAGAATTTAAACACATTTTTTATTTAGAAGGTGACAATTTATCTTCTGTTTGTAAATACAGACATAAAATTCCTACGGGAAATGAAATACCAGTTTATTCAAGGACATATCGTTTACCAGAAATTCATAAGGAAGAGGTAGAAAAACAAATCGACGAAATGCTACAATCGGGCATAATTTCGAAATCAAATAGTCCTTACAATGCTCCTCTTTGGGTTGTTCCCAAAAAGATAGACAATTCCGGTCAACAAAAATGGAGGGTAGTAGTTGACTACAGGAAACTAAATGAAGTGACAATTGACGACAAATTTCCGATGCCTAATATGGAGGACCTCTTTGCAAAATTAGGAAAATCACAATATTTCAGTACAATAGATTTGGCTAAGGGTTTTCACCAAATTAAGATTTCAACTGAAGATAGGCATAAAACAGCATTTTCAACTTCCAGAGGACATTATGAATTTACTAGAATGCCATTTGGCTTAAAAAACGCCCCAGCCTCGTTTCAGCGTATGATGAACGAAGTGCTCCAAGATTATATTAACAATATATGTGTAGTATACTTGGATGATATTTTGATATTTTCCACATCACTTGAAGAACACATATTATCATTGAAAAAAATTTTTAGAAGATTAGCAGAATACAATCTGAAAGTCCAAGTTGATAAATGTAACTTTTTTAGACATGAATCAGAGTATTTAGGTCACATTATAACGCCTAATGGAATAAAGCCAAATCCGGATAAAATTGATGTCATTAGGAAAATTTCATTACCAAAAACGGTTAAGGAAATAAGATCATTTTTAGGTTTAACTGGATTTTATAGGAAATTCATAAAGGACTATAGCCAGATAGCCCTACCTATGATTGAGAATCTTAAGAAAGGTTCAGTGATCAAATTAGATGATTTTAAATACATTGATTCCTTTAATAAATTAAAGACAATTTTATGTAATACACCGGTTTTAGCATATCCCCAGTTTGACAAATTATTTGTATTAACAACTGATGCCAGTGACAGAGCACTAGGATCAGTATTGTCCCAAAACGGTCATTCAATAGCATTTTCATCGCGCACATTAAATGAGCACGAAATCAACTACAGTGCTATACAAAAAGAACTATTGGCTATTGTTTGGTCAGTAAAATATTTTAGGCCATTTTTATTTGGAAGGAAATTCAAGATTCAGACAGATCATAGACCACTTATATGGCTAAATTCCTTGAAGGAACCAAATTCAAAATTACAAAGATGGAAGATACAGCTAAATGAGTATGATTTTGATGTAGAATATATTAAAGGTAAGACAAATAAAGTAGCTGATTATCTTAGCCGTTTAGATATTAATATTTTGACAGAGGAAGATGATAATATACAATCAGATCTTGCCACAATTCATAGTGGAAAAGAAAATTTAAATGACCATATTTCAATATCGGAGTCACCAGTTAATATATATACAAATCAAATTATTATTACTTTAGGAAAAACTTATAAATATGAGAAACAAATTTTATTTGAAAGAAAGACAAGACATATTATTACTATAAAGGAATATTTTGAGGAGAAGGTAATAGAATTTTTAAAACCAATTTTACCCATAAATGGTACTGTAGCAATTTTTTGTGATAATTTTAATATATTTAAAAATTTTCAGGAAACTTTAGTTCACTATTTTTCGAATGCTCCTAAAATGAAATTTGTGGGATGTTCGAAATATATAAAAGATATCTTTAATGTTGATAATCTTTTGGAAATTATTGACAAATACCATACTGAGAAAAATCATAGAGGAATTGAGGAAACATTTTTAGAATTGAAAAATATAATTTATTATCCCAACTTGAAAAAGAAGATTCATGAATTTATAAACAACTGTATTATATGTAATATGTGTAAATATGACAGGCAACCTATTAAGACAAAATTATGTGTAACAGAAACACCATTAAAATCCAATGAAGTTCTTCATATTGACATTTGGTTTTTAGACAAAAATACTACATTTTTAACTTGTATTGACAAACTTACCAAACATGTTTCAATCCATCATTTAAATGACAAAAACTCAATAACAATAGTAGAAATGATTAGGGAAAGATTTGCTATTTTAGGAAAACCGAATAAAATTATAGCTGATAATGAATTTAATACGGCATATGTAAGAAATTTTCTAAATTCGGAAAATATAGATTTTCATTTTACATCCCCCAACACCCATACGGGAAATTCTGATATAGAAAGATTACACCTGACTTTAAATGAACACATACGACTTTTTAAACTTCAGGAGAAAAATAGGGATTTAAATGATAAAACGTTAGTATACAAGTCTGTACAAATTTATAATGATACAACACATAGTACTACAGGGCACAAACCAAATGATCTATTGCACAATAAAGTTGATAAAACTATATGGAACAATTTACATGATATTGTCCAAAATAAAAAGATTGAAAAGATAATTAGATTTAATGAAAATAGGCAGGAATGCCATGATTATAAGGACAGAGAATTGGTAAAAAATTTAGGATTTCAGAATCTAAAACAGAAACCTAAATATATTTTAAAAGAAGTAAAGGAAAAAAATAATACTAATTTTATAGATGAAAAAGGTTGTAAACGTGATAGACAAATAGTAAAAAGAATTTATAAATATCAAAATGAATTGCCTAATATAAAGTTTGAAAGGAAAGTCACTGGAAGAGATTACTCTAAAAAGAAGCAGAAGAAAAAATAATAATAAAATGTTATTAAATATAAAACAAAATAATATTATTTATAGTTTATGTTAAAAAATTCATTTATTGTCATTTAGTTTCAAAAATTATTGTTAAATAATGGTTATATTAAATGTAATATAAAAAAGTTTAATAAATTTTAGTATTGTTTAAAATTAGAAAATAGAAAATTTAAATTTTAAAATTTGTTATATATATGTATGTCTATTAAATGCTATTTGTATATAAAATAATTGTTAAGTTTTTACCATTATTATTTAGCTGATTATTCCAGGAGTAATGTGTCATCAAGGGGTGGAGGAGTCATGTAATATTCCTACATGAATACCCTTAATATTCCAAATATTCCTTATTATCATAACATTCATCATTTACTTCACTTTATTCTTCTTTAAAATACAATTATCAACTATTTTCTTTTAATATACTATTATCAAATATTTTATTTTAAGATGTAATTATCAAATATTTATTCTTTTATGTCATTCTTAATATTATCGTTATTTCTTACACTTACTTTAAACTTGTTAACCGTTACTTTAAGCATTGAAATTATGTCATTGTAAAATTTAAATTAATCATATTTTGGCCTTTGAAAAGAAGACATCAAATTTTAAGTAAATAAATAAATCACACGGATAAACTCAAAAGTCGTTTTTTAATTAACTTTACTATAGGTTGTCTTAGCTCCCATATAAGGTATACTTCTGAAAATCACTTAATTCGTAATTAAATGATTATATCCGGATAAAATTCAAAATGAGTATGTTCTGTGTACAGATAAATCATTATATTAAAATGTTTTCAAACTGGCCTATTAATATACATTTTTTCTCGACCTAATTAAAATTAGTTTGACATATGCATAAGTGTTAGTAACCTCAATACGGAAACAAACATTTTGCCAAGTCATCTAAAAATTAGATAATTAAATGGGTTTTAATAAAAAGTAGCTTGCTGGTGGAGGGTATTTAAGATTCGGCATAGCCGAATATAGCTATCTAACTTGTTTTTTTTTAATATTTTATATTGATTTCTTATGCTATAAATGTTTATAATTCTTAAATACAGTGGGACCTCGATTTTCCCTGATTTTCCGGAAGCATTCTGTATAATCGATTTTCCCGGTTAATTGAGAGCCAATTTGGCGAGTTTTTTGATAGATATTTTTATTAATTAATAAATGAATATGTACATATTTATATAAAAACTAAGGGGGTTATTTTGTAAATCCCTTCCCCTCACTTCACTTAATTTTTCATTTAAATTGTTTTTGTATTTTAAAAAATTGTATGAAAATATTTCCAACGCAAGGTGAAGTGTTTTACAAAATAAGGGGGTAAATAATTCAAGGATTTTATATTCATACATGTTTCAAAAATAAAAAAAAAATAATTTTGTCAGAAAACAGTAAACAGTACACAGAAAAAATTAATACATAACTTGAATGAATTTTGTAATAAATTGAATGAATCGAACATGACTTTTTTTTCCCAAACCATTTTCATTCAGAATATTAAAAATTCATAAAATGTATGAATTTGTACATTAAAGATTTTTTTTTGTTTTTTTGTTAATTTTTTTTTTTTTATTTTCATAAAAAATTGGAATAAATATCCGCGTTACCTATTAATATCTTCCATTTTTTAGAAAATAATCACATATTAGCAAATTTTTATGATAAATAAATAAAATGTTGGAAAACAAAATATGAAATAAAAAAACATCAGCATATAGCTAAACATCCATTCTTCAGA